CCGCGCCACCGGACCCAGCAGCTCCGACTCCCAACCCCCCGTGACGGAGTGGACAATGCGTCCCCTGTGGGTCCACGGGGCCGTGCCCACACGAGACACTGATCGCCGCGCCGACCTTGCCGCCCACTTCGCCAACAGGGCTGGTATTGGCCGTCCACGCCGCGTTCCGAGCTCAGCCCAAGGCCGAGCCGCCGAGCTGCAGAAGTCCTACGATTCCCTACGTCTCCAGTTCTCTACCCTCTCTCACCAAGTCCGCGCCTTCACTTCCCAGCAAGGGCTGTTCGTACCGCGCCGCCACCGCGCGCGCGACGGCTTTGCGTCCCTTTCCGCAAATCTTTTGCCCGACGGGGCGGCATCCGCCCAAACGCTGAAAGACCTGCTCAGGGCCGCGCATGCTCGTACAGGGTGGGGCCTTAGGCCCACCTGCCTAGCCTTTGTCCCTTGGCCGCCAACCAGGGCCTTGCCGACCTGGGCCCTTTCTGCCGCGGGGCGCCAGAGACGCGGCGCATCGCCTGGTCAGCACCCCGCCTTTCGTCGCTGTGCGCCAGGGGGCGATTATTTCAACGTCCCCAGTTCCCCAAGGTGGGCACAAACGCTAAGCTTGCAATGGCGGCCGTGGTTACCGCAGAAGCCGGCTGTCGACGGGACACCCGTTTGCTTCTCCGATCTTTCTCTCTCTCTCTCTCTCTACTTCCTTAGCTGTCTCTCTCTCTATGTTGTTTCTATAGGTGTTTCTCTGTTGTTCTCTCTCTCTCTCTTTCTTTTTCTCTCTCTCTCTCTCTCTCTTTGTCTCTCTCTCTCTCTCTCTTTGTCTCTCTCTCTCTCTCTCTCTTTCATTTTCTCTCTGTCTCTCCCTCTCTGTATCTCTCTCTCTCTCTTTGTCTCTCTCTCTCTTTTTGTTTCTCTCTCTCTCTCTTTCTTTCTCTCTCTCTCTCTCTCTCTCTCTCTCTCTCTCTCTCTCTCTCTCTCTCTCTCTCTCTATATATATATACATATATATAGTCCCCCCCACGGACTCCGCAACCATCTGGGACTTTTTTGTGTCCTCCCGATTCGCACGATGACTGCGATTCCGATTGTAGTGGCCTCTGGCCAGTGCCGCAGATCCGGGGCGCTCCGGATGATGATGATGATGCTGATGATGATGACCATGGTGATGATGGTGGTCATGATGATGATGTTGATATTAGGATGATGATGGTGATGATGATGATGATGACGATGGTGATGATGATGATGATGATGATGATGATTGTGATGCGACGATGGTTCTGGTGATGGTGATGGGGATGGGGATGATCCCCGCCCCCCCCCCCCCCCACCTCCCCTCCTCTCTCCTGTCCCCCGTTCCCTCTCTCCTGTTCCCTTCCCTCTCTCTCTCCTGTCCCCCCCCCTCTCTCCTTTCCCCCCCTCTCTCTCCTGTCCACCTCCCCTCCCTTCTCTCCTGTCCCCCCCCTGTCCCCCCCCTTTTTCCTTTCTTTCCCTTTCCTTCCCACCCCCCCTTCTCCTCCCCCCCCCTTGTCTCCTGCCCCCCCCCCCTCTCCCCCGACCCCCTCTCTCCTGTTTCCCCCCCCCTTTCTCCTGTCCCCCCCCCCTCTCCTGTCCCCCCCCCTCCCTTCTCTCCTGTCCCCCCCGCTCTCCCCCCCCTCTCCTGTCCCCCCCCCTTCTCCCCTGTCGCCCCCCTCCCTCTCTCCTTTCCCCCCCTCCCCTTTTTCCCCCCCCCCAGTCTCTCCTGTCCCCCCCCCCTTGTCTGTTGTCTACCCCCCCTTTCTCCTGGGAGCTGGCAGGGGTGGGGGGTCCGAGCACTGAGCGCGTCAACTAATTACGCCCCCCCTCCCCCCCTTCCCAAGCAGAGCTAAAGCTCATGCTGAAGCAGAGCTTCAGCTGAGACTTTCTTAAACTCACACGCCGGGTGGGCGGTTTTTCGTCCACATATTCCTCGAGATCTTCCGCCAGATCTTCCGCTATACATTCCGCCAGATTGATGCTCCGACCTTCTGGGAGGTCTTCCGCCAGAGTTTCCGCCAGATCTCCCGCCACATCTTCCGCCATATTCGCATTATGTGAGGATTTTCCTGTTCAGACTCCACGCGCGCTTCAGACTCCGCCTCTTCTAACACCTACAGTGGCAGCAGCAACTTCTTGCAGTAGTAGTAGTAGCAGCAGTTTCTTGCAGTAGCAATAGCGGTGGCAGTAGCAGGAACATGGACGTAGCAGTAATAGTTGCAGTGGCAGTCCCCTCCACCTCCTGGTAATAGAGGCAGTAGCAGTAATAGTGGCAGCAGCAGTAATAGTAGCAGCGGCAGTAATAGTGGCAGTGGCAGTACCCCTTCCGAGCTCCGTGCAAGTCTAGCCAGGCTGCACTAAGGCCCAAGGCCCAAGACCCACTGCGCGGACACCATCCTACAAAGACAAATAATGATTGGGGGTTCCACCAAGCGAGGGGAAGTAGGAAGAGGACGAGGATGCAAAAGGTGGAGGAGGACTAGGAGGAGGACCAGGGGGAGGAGAAAGAGGAGGAGGAAGAGGAGGAGAAAAACAATGGGAAGAGGGGAGGAGGGGAGGAAGATGAGAGACATAGGAAAGGAGGAGGAGGAGGAGGAGGAGGAGGAGGAGGAGGAGGAGGAGGGGAAGGACATTTAGAGAAAGAAAAGGAGGAGGAGGAGGAGGAAAAGGACGCAGGAGGAGCAGGATGACGCAAGGAGGAGGAGGCGGAGGCGAAGGATCGCAGGTGGTCAACCGCCACCAAACACAGGTTCCTATTGCGCCTACTGTTGCTCCTGTTCCTGCTCCTGTTTCTCATGTGCCTCGTCCTCCTCCTCATCATCCTCATCTGGTTGTACATAAATACCGCTCCCCCCCCCATCAAATTGCGCCCCTATCCCACAGCGCAACCTTTACATGGAGGGGCCTGGAATCCCACCAGCCCTCCCTGGCGTAGGTGGTTTAGGGAGTTTCCTCTTCCACTCCCTTTCTTTCCCTTCGTGGAGGGGTTTACCCCTCCCTACTACCCCCTCCCCTGGACCTGGACGGGGCCGGTCGCGAACGGCCAGGGCGTCCAAAACGGCCTCGGCGAGGAAGCCAAAATCATCGGTGTTTTACCCAGGTTTGGGCCCCATGTTGGCCACTTGGGGGGGCGGGGCTAATTAACTCCACCCTTTTCTTTGATCGATCTCATACAAGATGGCCCCAAGAGGCGCCCAGGAGGCCCCAAGAGGTGAGGCCCCAAGAGGCCGCCATGAGGCTCCAAGAAACCCCCAAGAGGCTCCAAGAGGCTCCCAGGATGGTTCCAAGAGGCCTCCAAGAGGCTCCAAGAGGCCGCCATGAGCTCCAAGAGACCCCCAAGAGGCCCCAAAAGGCTTCCAACAGGCCCCCAAGAGCCCCCCAAGAGGACCCCAAGCGGCCTCAAGAGGCCCCCCCGAAGCACCCAAGACGCCCAAGAGCCCCCATTGACCGCCAACAGACCCCCAAGACGCCCGAAGAGGCTTCCAAAAGGCTTCCAAGAGGCATCCGAGCGGCATTCAACCATCCACCCAGCGTCATCATTCTCCTCATCCCTCCTTCGTTCGGTTCCTCGTTACCCCCTTCAACTATCCATCTGGCCCCCTCTTCCGCTTCATCCTTTGCGCGGATCGGCTGTTCCTCTCGTTGCTCCCCCACTTTCCTGATCTCTTCAACTCGCCTGGACATCGTTTCTGGATGGGCTGGTGGGGATACGCGAAGCGTCAAGAATTTATAAATTGACCTCCAAGGGGCCCATTTTTGTTCAGCAAGGCTTCCTCTCCGCATGATGGCGCATAACAGCATCCTGGTAGTATGCTTTGCCACGGTCGGAAAATGAAAACTCGGGCGCGGCAACATTTACATCACAATTCTGCATCAAATAATCAAACGCGCTGAACAGAATCCGCACGCCGTCAGCGACATCCGAGGAGCCATGCTCCATATTGACAGGCCAAACCAAAACATCGCGCATCGCAATCATGATGCACGTCGCAGCTGACCACGGAACCGCGGGTTTCTTGCTCGCTGGGGCTGCGTACGACACCGGCGAAACACATCTCAGCCATGTACCGAACATGTTCAAACGCTGTCCAAACTTTGCTGGCTTCAGTAGAGACCAGTACGATTCGACCACGACGCTCGGCCCATCGAGCTCGTAGTTCAAACGCGCAACCTTACCAACCCGTATAGGGCATTGCTCGCGAGCGTTGCCCGTGTTCCGATACACTATGAATACGTCACACTCCAGCGGGCCCATACAGTAAGCATTGACCGTGTTCTCGCCACTGGCAATTTGCAACAGTTGCATCGGCCCAGGTCCACCTCAGACAACATAGTAGCGACCGAAAACATCACCCCGATCCGCTTTATTCCAATTCTTCCGCTTCGGTGAGGGGTCTGATCGTTCAGGCCTACGGGAGGTTTGTGGCGAGAGCTCCCAATGAGCCTTAATGTGTCCAAGGCGGTTCAAGATAGCCGAATACGGGTTCATAGATGATCCAAGACTCCCCAAATCAGTTCCAAGACGGCCCCAAGTGTCCACGGACCCGAAGACCCCTTAAAACCCGAAGAGAGGCCCAAGAGCGCCCCAAGACTGCGTGTGAAGATGTGCGTCGAGGAACGTTTTTTTGCTGTTGTTTCTGCAGACAAAACCTCCACCCTCCTCCTACGAATGGTTTCCTCCTGCTCTTCCCACTCTCACCCCATCCGCCATCTTGGTCTGCGCTCCCTAGCCTCGAGCAGCTCGCATGGGCATCCTCGATGCAGGGGCTGGTTGGGGCACGCGAAGTTACAGGGGGAGGCGGAGGAAGCGGAGCTGGAGGGGGATGCGATGGAGTTGGCCGGAGGTACGGGGGAGGAAGAGGGATTGGTTCGATTTGTTTATGTCAGCTTGGCATAAGAGACCAATCAGTTGCTCAAATGCGCGTAGACCTCCACGCATGGTGATCCTGAACTGAACTCTCGCCAACTAGGGCCCCTCCAGCGCAGCCGCTAGCTTAAGACATCGCATTTATGGAAAGCCAGCCACCTGCGGATGATCCAGGGAAGGCAGCCGCAATAGCCTTGTCCAGTGCATCAGTATCCACGCCCTTCACCAACTGCGAGGCCTGGCCCATGCCGCGCTTCGCGTTCTTGCGCACGAGGTTGATCTTCTCCTCGAGCGGTTGACCTGAGGGCAAGTAATCGGGTAATTCATCATTGACGAGTTTTCGCATGTAGTCCACATGATTGCTGCAGTCGCGGCCGGCTTGTTCCAAAAGTGCTTGGAGCTTCTTAAGCCACGCGAGGTGCGAGTTCACAAACTTCCCAGGCCATTCTGGAACCAAGGGCGGCGCCCACCACTCACGCATTTCGGGAATGTTGACCCCGGGACAGAGCACGATTGGCTTGCACCAATCGCATGTCGTGAGCCATCGCTTAGCTTGAACGCACAAATCACCATCGCCACTCCGAGATACTCGCAAATGGTGTGGTAAGCTAATACCCCTCACAGAATCTGCTGTAAGACTCGGAGGCCGAGAATCCCTGAACCCCCACACGTCGCGCAAATGTTTCCATAGGGGTGGCCGTTTCATCCTCTGGTTGAGTTGGGTGAACATGTCTGGGAGAGATAGCACATCCTTGGCATGGAGAGCTCGACTGACAAATGCGAAGGTGGCGTCGATCAAGTCATGCGTGTGACCAACAAGAAGGTAACACAATTCAATCGCTTGCAATCTAGTATGCTGCAGCTGCGCTAACAACCAAATAGCTGCCGCTAGCGTAATTGTGTTCTTGGTCTCCTTCGCCGCGTTGTCAGATTGTATGACTAGCCGCCGGGGCAAGAACCCTAGCTTTGACGTGGCTTCAACCAGCGCATCGACCATCAGGGAACAAATCATATCTCCACCCTGGACTTGGTTTTCAAACACAGTATAGAATACAGGATTGTCCCACAGGGTAGGGCTGAGCACCCCAATGAGATGCGCGATCAACCTGGACCCGCCCTTCTGGAACTGCGTGTTGGACAGCGCTTTCACCCTCGGCAGAATAGTTTTAGCCTGATCCATCTTGTCCCAACCAACTGTCACTAGCTCTTCGGGGTGCCGCTCGCTTTCTGCAAACAGTTGATTCATTGCCATCCTCTGCGCAGCTTGGAACTCATAATGCTGCCCAAGTTTTCGCAACAGCAAGTCCTTCACGCACTGATCCTTGGCCTCTGTGATGAGCATGTGGAGAAAATTGCAAAAACCACAGCGGGTAAATGGCCCCGATGCCGCCCGCAGCTGCAGCCATGGAAGTTCTTGGCGCCAGACTTTCAGGAAATAGCTCTGAGAAGCGATGTGTGCAGGGTCTGCATTCTTCGACGTCCTGTCATGGAAGTACACAGCAAAATAATCTTGTTTGCGGCCAGCTGGCAACCATAGTCTGTCATTCATGGGCGAAGTGTCTGCGTTGGCCTTTTTGCGTAAGCAACTAGCCATGCCCGCGCGTTCATGTACGTCAGTGGGCGAGAGCACACCCAGGAACCCAAGCCATGAGGCAGTGCAGGCATCTTGGCGCCAACTGCAAGGTTACGGGCGTCTTGCAACGTGCACGCGTGCATGCCAGTCAGAGCGATGAATGCGTCTCTACATACCTTGCGGCCGAAGATGCGGTACTGCATTTGGAAGCACGTGGAGTCGCCCATGCGTCTAGCCGTGTGTGCCTCAAATGCTTGTGCGTACTCAGCGGCTAGACGCTGCGCCCGGTCGTGTTTGGGTAGATTATACCACATCTGCCGCCATTGCAGCATTGCTTCAGGATGATGCCTGAATGCATCTAGGCACGTGTGCTCTGAGTCTCTCTTCCAGCACGGCTTGCTGATATCAGAAATCACTTTGTTCAAATCGAGCTTATTGCCAATCTTGCGGGACTTGACGTAAGCATTATATCTTCCAACGATTAAGTTTCCTGATGCCAGCCAATTCTTAGCAACCTGGTGCACACGCTCGCGATCTATGCCTGCCCGACGCTCCAATTCTTCACACTGGTATAACTTGTAAGCGTCTCGGCATTGCAGGGCGCGAAGCGTGTTCTGCACCGCCGTGCCCGGGCTGTTGCTCAACTTTAGCCCGGCAACTGCTTTCGTCATCTCCTCACTTGGGCGTTCAAATGAGTCCCAGGCTGACAAGCACTGGCATACTTCAAACGTATGCGCAACTGTGGCGTCTTGTTTCTGCCCGCGGTTGTCGCCGCCACCACGCGTACATTGATCCTCGCTGGGCGTCGCGGCATCACGATGATCAACTTGTGGAGCTCGAGAGGACAACAGAGCGTCACCAGTCATATCCACTGCATGCGAGATGTCGCTTGTGTTTCTGACAGAGGCAAGCAAGCGTAATAATGGACATTGGCGCAATTGGCAAGAAATGCGATGGGCAGGTCCTGGGCGGCATGGGCAAATTCAGGAGCTAGGATTAGCTCAGGTTCACCACGGCCAACCCAACAAACGAATTGAATCTCGAACACCCCAGACCTTAGCCGAATGGGTTTGACGATCATGCATCGCAATCGCCTCGTCTGCAGAGGTCACGTGAACATTACCCGAGACCGACCGTTGTCCACAGACAGGAAAAAGGGGGAGGAACATGGGGGCGAGGAGGAAACGGATGGCGGAGGTAAGAAGAATGGGCGGATTGGAGGAAGAGGGAAAGCCAGGGGAGAACATGAGGAGGCGCGCATGTGGCTGGCAAGATGAGCAGGGGCGAGAGTCGATGATGATAAAATGCCCAAGGGAAAAGAGAGAGCCCGCCAGTCTTGGGTTTCGAGAGCTCTTGAGTCTAGCTTTTCATGCAAATCGCGAATGTTCCTTCTCATTTTAGCCTCGAAGGCTTCATTTCGAATACCCTTCGCAGACCCTTGCAAGAATTGGGGGCCCCCGTGGGGCACTCTCACAAGCTCAGGTACCACTTCGGATCAGGCTCACACTGCGTGACCCAGCGTTGGCCTCATGATTCGGAGCGTAATGGAGCGGTCCAGGTTATCCCAATCCGCTGGGCTCTCGCTTTGACTCTGCAGCGCCGCGCCCCATCTTAATTCCCCTGCCCTCGCCCTCATCTCCGCGGTGCTTCAAGCGCAGTCTCACCGCGGCACCTTGCAGCGTCAAGAGTAGAAGCGAACAGGTTGGGAGGATCAACGATGATGCGAGGGCCCAACGATGCGATGAAATGATGCGATGGCCGGCATTTTCATAATGACAACTCGATTTTTGCGCTGCCATTGCTGCACCAGAGCAACATGACCTACACAACGCATCATGCATGCCGTAGCCTACCCTACCGTACCTTGCGAACTATTTGTTCACATGCACCCAAACAACAACTTAAACAAACTAAAAACGGAATGTTGGTGTAATACAGCACCCATTTGACCAGAACCATTGAAATACCACGACATTCTGGCCTCTTTTTGGGATTCCAGGGGATGGGGGGAATGAAGCTTGACCGACGGAGGGGAGGGGGGGGGGGAGGGGAGGGGGGGGGGGAGGGGAGGGAGGGGAGGGGAGGGAGGGGAGGGGGGGGAGGCTCATTCGACGGAATCGCCGAGCAAGGAGACAGTCTGCCTGTCGCAGCTCGCGAGTTGGCAGGCACCCAGGGCGCTAAACATCGGCAGTTCGCAGCGTGCGTCACCGCCAATTACATGTGCCCCCATCCTCTTCTCAACCATCTTTCCCTCCTCATCCTCCTCCTCTCTTGCTCCTCCTCCTCCTCCTCCCCCCCCTGGCCCCCCGAAGGGGGGCAAGTTGCCCCCCTCGTCGAGACTGCGGCTCAAGCGCCGCGCCACCTAAGCGCCGCCGAGCGCACTGCACGCGCGCTTCGCCGCCCTCTCACACGGCGCAGCCGTAGCAGGTAGGATCCGCCGCCGCCTTGAGCGACTGGCCCGGTGTCGACCCTGCCTCCATTTATCAGATAGCATCCCCTGGGGCCCGAGGGCCCCTCCCCACGCCGAGACGCATCGAGTCCAACATGCGTTCGTGTTGGCGGCATCGCGCGACAGCGCAACCTGGCCGGCTGGCAGCGCAATCGCAGTCGAGCTCGAAGCAGCGGCTGAAGAAGACGCGGGCGTCTGCTCGATCGGCTCGGACGTATGCTCGAGCTCGCGCTTGAATTTCACCGCCGTGGCCACGCCGATCGGCTCGGGCATCTGCTCGAGCTTTCCCTTGAACAGCACCGCCATGCGATCCTCGGTGGTCCTGAACTTCGCCGCCGCGGCACCCTCGCGCCCGTTGGACATCGCCGCCTTGGTCGCGGGCAATGGCGGCCTCATCGGCCCATGCATGTCCTCCTTCCTCATGTGCTTGTTGATCCGCTTGATGTAGTACTGGCAGCAGACTGCACCATCACCCATCGCGCCAAAGACCTTCAGGATGTCGTAGCCCTTGCGCTCTGCATCGCATCGCCTTTGCCTCTGCTGCTCACGCATCTCGTCTGCGCGATGCATCTGTTCGAGCATATCCGCGAGCTCGGCAATGGATTGCATGTCACATACTTCATCATCATCGGCAGCAGGCCTGTCATAGTCAGGGTCATTCAGCTGCCACTGCTTCTCTCCCGCGGCCTTGAACATGCGATCCAGAAGGGCGAGCCACCCCACCTCGTCGTCGGGGTCCACAGTCATGGCCTCCGCGTCCTGGTGCAGCTTCGGCTTCTCCAGGAACTCGACGCACACCGGCTCCAAAGAAATCGGTCCGAAACGGCAAGGACCGCGCTGACCAGGACCAGCCATCACGCTGATCTGGGACCACTGTAGGACCAGAGGAGTCCACAGGGGGCGTTTCGGCAGGGGATATCCCAACGTTAGCGACAGCAAGGTGTTGCTGTCGTTGCGACGCCCCTTCGGTAATCCCCTATCCAAACACCACCGTTGAACCCCTGCAGTGGGCAAGCTCACCCGCCGGCGGCGGGACGGGCGGCGCGCGGCAAATTGAGCCAAAATATGGCTACAGGCAGTTGGAGGGCACCCTCCTTCTCCACTGCCCAAGATGACTCCAAGTCAGCTTGAGGAGGTCTTAGGCCAGGCTCAAGAGAGCCGAAGCCGATGGCCCAAGATATTGCTTCGACAATTTTCCCGCCGTATTCTCCCCCCCCCCCGGCATCCTCAGCCTTCTTCCCACCATCATTTTCTCTATCGTACATAGTTTCCACATTTTACTCTTCACCCGCCTTTCCCTTCCCTCCTTCCCCCATCCTCCTCCTCCTCATCATCACCCCCCTCCTCTCTTTTTCACCTCCTCGTCCGCCTCTCTGTCTCACCGCGTGCGGGTTCAGGTTCGCGGGGGCCCGTCGAGGCTCCAGGGGGTTCAGCGTTCGGAAAACCAAGGGCACGGTCGTGGTCATGCGCACGCGCGTTCACTTCCTAATCCTCCGCATCCTCCTCGTCTGCCTCGCCCTCCTTCTCTTCCTCCTCACCGTTCGCCGAACTCTCTCTCTCATCATCCTCACCCTCGCCCTATCCCTACTCTTACTCTTCCCCCCATCGTCCCCCTCATTCTCGCCCCCATGTCTTTTCCGCCCCGCCGCGACAAGATTTCCGAAGCTGGTTCCAGATGTGGCTCAGGAGTTGCAAGGGGTTGGCTTCCAAGATGGCCCAAGATGATCGGCTTCGAAGTCTCGGCGGTTATCGGCTACTGTCGTCGTCGTGGCGTCCGCATTCTGATTGTTGCACATCCATTTCGATTCGACGTCTCTCCAAGTGTCTCATCTCCCTCAAGTGGAGGAGGAAAGGGTGGAGGAGGAGGAGGAGGAGGAGGAACAGCCATCCCGAGGCTCAAGTAAAGCCGAACATACACCTGCCACCCTAGGAATAATAATTAGATTGATTAGCTGGATAGGTCGAGCATACGCGTCGAACATATATGCCAACCGCACAAGATTACTATGAGATACAGGCCCTGGGCATGGGAAGCCTTTGTGAAGCATGCAAGCGACAGGGGCCATGGGCGATCAGGATTCAGACACTGAGCGCCAGACGCAGCTACCACCATGGGAGTATCAATCCATGTCCGCGGAGTGCGCATTGATGCAACGCACTCGTCCATGGACGCGTATCCTTCCATTTGCACCCACGACAATACAGAGACACCGGGCACGACCTCAACGTCTTTGTTGCTCGTAACCCAAATCAACAACAAAATGCGAACCATCAGCAGCGCTGACTCCCGGCCGTGTGACTGCAGGCGCTTCAAGACTTGCTTTGCCCGGAGGCTAGTGTCTTGAAGGCGCTCTATGTTGCGCAGAATTGCGTCTGGACCACAATCCCCATTGGTGGCAGTATCGTGGTCTAGTTGCAGCCCGTTGTCGGCGACAGTCTGAGCCATAATGTCCTCCACAGGCCGCAACGATTCAGGCTTAACATGAGATGGCCATGGATGTCTGAACGACCCAGAAGCCACAATGCCCTGCATTGAAACCACGTGGTCCCGCAGGTCGAGAAGGGGCGGGCATCGGCGGCGATCCTGCCATCCTGCCCCAGCCATTCGCCCCCTGGAGCGCCGCCTGGAACAGCGCGTCGAGCCAAAACGGGATACGCACGCACGACCACAAAAAATCCGTGCAATGCGATGCAGCATATCATGCAATTGAAGGCAATGCTATGCACAGGTCCCCTACGCAAGGCAATGCAATTGAAGGCAATGCTATGATTTGGTGTGATCTGAGAGGCAGTGCAAATACGGTCACGGTATACAGCGAATGTAGAAGAAACCGCAGGGGGCAGATACAGGGCCTCCTAAACAAGCGCAGGACCTTACGATCCGCTTCCATACTGGGGAGGGAGGTAGCAATGCAAAAGACGACGCGCATCAGGCGCGCATGCTTACAAAGCCTCATTACGACGATCGAACAATGACCGCCTCAGTCTGCGATGGACACGTCTCAATTCATTTTGATTCGATGAGACCATGGATGTTCACGCGTGAGCCCCAGAAAAGGAGGAGGCGAAAGGGAGGTGGAGGAGGAGTTGTTTAACAGTGTGAAGAGGAGAGGCGGGGGGATTGAGGAGGACGCAAGGGGGGGTAGCAGCGCCGTTTTTTTTTTGCTGCGACGGCGCATGCGCGTCAATCGACGCTTGGATTTGGCACCGAAGAGGCCCGCA